ACCCCACACACACACACAAAGACAGGATGTTCCAGAGATTGGAACAGTAACAAGGGGACACAGTTGGAAGCTAAAAGACACAGATGAATCACAGGGATGTTAGGAAGTATTTCTTCAGCCACAAGTAGTCAGTAAGTGGAATAGTTTGGGAAGCGATGTAGTGGAGGCAGGATCCATAATAGCTTTAAGCAGAGGTATGATAAAGCTCACGGCTCAGGGAGAGTGACCTAGTAGCGATCAGTGAAAAAGGGGGGGCCAGGAGCTCGGACTCGACCCCCGCAAAACCTCAACTAGGTGAGTACAACTAGGTGAGTACACACAAACAACACACCCGAATCTCCCCCCAAAAAAGACTCCCCCCGCGACATTCCCAACGCAACTGAGAACCTAACAAAACCCCACTCACTGTTCCCCTCCCCACCAACCCCCATATCACAACCTCCCCCAACGGTTTCCCCTTATGGGCTTCTGACCCCCCCCCCATCAACAAAACCCCACCTCACCACAGCCCCTATGGGCCCCCCCCAAAGGGCTCTCGCTCCCCCAACCCCAATATTCTTGCATGCCCAAAAGTAGAAAAGAAACTAAGGTTTGGTACACAAACCCGGGAAAATAACAAATAAACTGAGGAGTGGAACGAAGAATCAGTGAAAAATCCCCAACATATAGCGTACAGAAAAAAAACTCGCTGAGACCTAACAACCAATTTCCCCAACAGGTATCAGATCCGGGAAAGATAGAAGGGTAGGGGGGGAGGAGGGGTTGATGTCATAAAACACCGGGGGGTTTTGAGGAAATGGAAGGCATGGACTGTTTGGAGAAAGAGATCATTTAGGTAAAATTCAGTCCGGGGAAACAAAAATAGTCATTGGATGATGAAAAAACCCCCCAACAGAACTGAGGAGGCCAAGAGAGGAGTACGAAGAAAACAACGGGGGTGATGGGGGCCCACATGGTGGGGTTTGCAAGAGAGCTCACTCGAGCAGAGAAAAGTTACTGGTAAGGGGCGATTTCAACCACGGGGAATCGACGGGGAAAAACCCTGGAGCCCCAGGGGGGTCCCGAAACAGGAGACCAAGATGATGGATGTGGCTTGAAAACCCATGCATAACATGTCGGGGCCCAAACAGGGGAGAAGGGGAGGATGAGCCAGAAAGACTGGATCTTGTGTTTCCCCCTGAGCTTTCAGACTTTTGAGGAATCATACGAGGGGCCCCCTTGAAGCTAGCGATCTGTTTTTTGATTTTTGACTATATAGTAATTTACAAGTGGAGAAGGTAACGGGAAATAAAAGGGGAAGGCAAATTTAAAAAAGGGGGGGGACTACCAGTATGGAAATTCCCGCAGGGGGTTCAGGGGCAGAGAAATGGTAGGAAAATCATAAACGAGTGAGGAATATTTGGCAAACAAAATGCAAGGAGGAGAGGAAAATTTTGTTCCCAAAGGGAAACAGAAAAATAGGAAGACCAAAAAGAGTCCTTGGTTTACCCCAAGGGGGGAGGCAAAAAATAGTGCAAAAGAGAAAGGAAAAGGTACAGGAGGCATAGGACCCGGGGAAAAAAAGGAGATTGAGAAAAGCCAAAAAAAAAGGGGTATGCACAGATAGGAGGGGGGGCCCCGCGCAGTATGAAAACGACATAGCATCGGTCAAAAATTTACCCCAAAATGCTGTTACACATTAGAGGAAGACAAAAATCAAGGGCCCGGGGATAAGGCTGAGGAAAGAAGGGGAGAACTCCAAGAAAAGATCAAGAGGATGTGAGGGGCCAACACGGAATTTTTAAAGGAAATTTTACAGTTTTTGAGACAGGAAGGACTCTGGGGGGGACAGACCAGATGGGGACACCAGCAAGGAATACACCAACAAGTGTTGGATGACATACATACAGATGAGGAGGAGGTGAAGAAATGCTAAGGGACATCGATACCTCAAAGGCAATGGGAACCGGACAACATCTCCCCGGGGGTTCCTTAGAGAGGGAGCAGATATGTTGTGCGTGTCACTTACCACAATCTTCAACAAAATCCCTGGAAACTGGGCAACTCCCTGAGGTATGGAAGACGGAAAAATGTAGTTTCCCATTTTTAAAAAGGAGACAGAAAAGAGGCACTAAACTATAGACCTGTGTCATTGACGTGTATAGTATGCAAAATTATGGAGAAGATTATCAGGAGGAGAGTGGTGGGCACCTGGCACGGAACAGGAGTAAAAAATGCCAACCAGCACGGATTTTACGGAAGGCAAATCCTGTTTTCACAAACCTTTTGGAGTTTTATGATAAAATAACAGAAGTAAGACACGAGAGAGAGGGGTGGGTTGATTGCATCTTCTTGGACTGCAAGAAGGCCTTTGACACGTTCCTCACAAGAGATTAGTGCAGAAGCTAGAGCATCAGGCGCATATAACAGGAAGGGCACTGCAATGGATCAGAGAATACCGACAGGGAGGCAACAGCGAGTCATGGTACGTTAATGATGTAAACACAGTGGGCACCTGTGACGAGCAGGGTCCCACAGGGGTCGGTCCTAGGACCGTGCTATTTTGGTATATGTGAACGACATGACGGAAGGGTTAGACTCAGAAGTGTCCCGTTTGCAGATGATGTGAAGTTAATGAGGAGAATTAAATCTGAAAGAGGACCAGGCAGGACTTCAAAGAGACCTGGACAGAGACGGACACCTGGTCCAGCAAATGGCTTCTCGAATTTAATCCTGCCAAATGCAAAGTCATGAAGATAGGGGAAGGGCACAGAAGACCACAGACAGAGTATAGGCTAGGTGGCCAAAGACTGCAAACCTCACTCAAGGAGAAAGATCTTGGGGTGAGTATAACACCGAGCATGTCTCCGGAAGCACACATCAATCAGATAACTGCTGCAGCATATGGGCGCCTGGCAAACCTGAGAACAGCATTCCGATACCTTAGTAAGGAATCATTCAAGACACTGTACACCGTGTATGTCAGGCCCATACTGGAGTACGCAGCACCTGTTTGGAACCCGCACTTGATAAAGCACGTCAAGAAACTAGAGAAAGTACAAAGGTTTGCGACAAGGTTAGTTCCAGAGCTAAGGGGAATGTCCTATGAAGAAAGATTAAGGGAAATCGGCCTGACGACACTGGAGGACAGGAGGGTCAGGGGAGACATGATAACGACATATAAAATACTGCGTGGAATAGACAAGGTGGACAAAGACAGGATGTTCCAGGGAGGGGACACAGAAACAAGAGGCCACAATTGGAAGTTGAAGACACAAATGAGTCAGAGAGATAGTAGGAAGTATTTCTTCAGTCATAGAGTTGTAAGGCAGTGGAATAGCCTAGAAAATGACGTAGTGGAGGCAGGAACCATACACAGTTTTAAGACGAGGTTTGATAAAGCTCATGGAGCGGGGAGAGAGAGGGCCTAGTAGCAACGGTGAAGAGGCGGGGCCAGGAGCTAGGACTCGACCCCTGCAACCACAAATAGGTGAGTACAAATAGGTGAGTACACACACACACACACACTACCACACACACACACACACACACACACAGACACAACACACACACACACACACACACACACACACACACACACACACACAAAATACTGAGAGGAATTGACAAGGTGGACAAAGACAGGATGTTTCAGAGATGGGACACAGCAACAAGGGGACACAGTTGGAAGTTGAAGACACAGATGAATCACAGGGATGTTAGGAAGTATTTCTTCAGCCACAGAGTAGTCAGGAAGTGGAATAGTTTGGGAAGCGATGTAGTGGAGGCAGGATCCATACATAGCTTTAAGCAGAGGTATGATAAAGCTCACGGTTCAAGGCGAGTGACCTAGTAGTGACCAGTGAAGAGGCGGGGCCAGGAGCTTGGACTCAGTCCCTGCAACCTCAACTAGGTGAGTACACACACACACACACACACAAGTACGTTAGGCCCATACTGGAGTATGCGGCACCAGTTTGAAACCCACACCTAGTCAAACACCTAAAGAAACTAGGGAAAGTGCAGAGGTTTGCAACAAGACTAGTCCCAGAGCTAACGGGTATGTTCTACGAAGAGAGGTTAAGGGAATTCGACCTGACAACACTGGAGGGTGTTAATGTTGCAGTTTAAAAACTGTAGTGTAAAGCACCCTTCTGGCAAGACAGTGATGGAGTGAATGATGGTGAAAGTTTTTCTTTTTCGGGCCACCCTGCCTTGGTGGGAATCGGCCGGTGTGATAATAAAAAAAAAAAAATAAATAACACTGGAGGATAGGAGAGATAGGGGGGACATGATAACGACATATAAAATACTGAAGAGGAATTGACAAGGTGGACAAAGACAGAATGTTCCAGAGATGGGACACAGCAACAAAGGGTCACTGTTGGAAGTTGAAGACTCAGATGATTCACAGGGTAGTCAGGAAGTGGAATAGTTTGGGAAGCGATGTAGTGGAGGCAAGATCCATGCATAGCTTTAAGAAGAGGTATGATAAAGCTCATGGTGCAGGGAGAGTGACCTAGTAGCGACCAGTGAAGAGGCGGGGGCCAACCACAACTAGGCGAGTACACACATTATCTTGATAATATATATATATATATATATATATAATATATAATATAATATATATATATATATATATATTACATTGTGTGTGTGCACTAGATGTAAAATACTAGCTGTAGGCCTTTCACACTTTTGCAAGTGCTTCTTCAGGAGCTATGCAGTGTTGCAAGAGGTCGGTGTGTCCCAACTTGTGGAAAATGCTACTAAAATAAAATATAGGTAAAGAGTGACCTTGCAGATCATTGCTAACAACAACCTGGTAGTCACTACAGTAATGTGTTAGACGTAGTTTTACACGCATTTAAAATTCACACTTCAGGTTTGGGTTAACTAGGAAAGCTTTTTTGGTGAAACTTTCATTCTGAACTTCAGCTGAGAGGAAAGATAAAGGGGGGGAGGAGGAGGAGGAGGAAGAAGAAGAGGAGGAGGAAGAGAGAAGGGAGGGGGTAGAGTGAGTGGGGTTCACTAGTCGTTGAGGTGCCAGGCTTGGCCCCAGCCGGCCACAAACTCTCTCTCTCCAGCCACATGCCTAGTGTTATTTATATATAAAACGCATATCCTGTGCAGTGGTTCCATCTCCCGTGCAGTGTTGTAGTTCGTATTAGCGTCGTCCACCCAGTGGTCCAAGTGTGATGTTATGACCCTCGTGTTGGTCTGAAGGAACGAGAAACCTAGCCTCCCGGAAAATTGAAATTCTTCGAATTTGTGTTGTGTGGGGTGTTAATGTGAATTTCAGGTGAATATTGGACAAATTCAAACAATTTGGCAGCGTCTTGTTCTAGCGGGTGTTTTGCAGGACTCAGGACTCTTCAGACACCCCCAGCAGGAGAGGACTGAAGACTCACTACAGTCTGTTCAACAGTCTCGCTCGTTTATATCCTCAGGGAAGGAGTTTTTGGTGTTTGTGCAAGTAAGTTTTGTATAGAGGCTGTAGATCAAATGTGAATTAAATAGTCAGTGCTTTGGTGATGACAAGTTGAGACCAGACAACTGATAGCTGACTTCTGAGAATGTTCATTTGCAGGTAGTGTCAAAAGACAGAGATTGTTTGTAACATACGGTGTTCACAAGAAAGATAAAAAAAGCAAGACTGATTCAACTAATTATAGAAAACGAGTAGTGGGTGTAGAAAATGAAGGAGGATGAGACGGCGGAACGGGAGGCGGGAGCCCATGTACACCAACACTTCCGGGAGGTGGTAGCAGCCTTCGTGCAAGATTTCTCCGAGCGTCAGGCTGCAGGGGAAACCAAGATCCGTCAGATCGAGAGAAAACTTAGCGATACCACCGGTGAGCTCAGTCTCCTGCGCCAGATCTTACACGACTACGAAACGAAAATCAACGAAGATAATGACCTTATCCTGAGATTGGAGCGGGAGATCGAGGCCCTACAAGGTAGGGTGAGGAACATCGATAAGAGGAACAGTCAAACGACGGCCCTCAGTACCAGATTGGAGGTGCGGCTGGAGAATCTGAAGGAGTGTCTCACTCAGACCTGCAATGACACACAGCAGGGTGTGAGGAAACTGCTGGCAAATTTTGTCAAAATACAATTATCTGGAGGTTACAGCGGACATACTAAAGGCTTCCACAAGGAAGATGCCAGTGGGGCCCTTGCCACGGAGACACCTCTCTTCACCCACACCACCGATGATACGGTGGAGGGCACAGCGAACTTCGAATTAAACGACATGAGCGAGACTTTGCGATTATCAAAGTCGTGGTCACCAGATTTGCAATCCTCAGATTCGCGATTGATTTTCGCAGACACAACAACACCTGCGTCCTGGTCTTCAGCGACGCTCGAGGTCCCTCCCTCTGCGAACGACAGTGACTTGCCGAAGAACGAAGGAACGTCGATCGACATTACCCCAGCGAACGACACATCCCCATCGACCGTTGAATGTGTTCACTACAGTGTTGCAAAACCTATAAACAACACGAGTATCTCTCAAGACGACCTCGATCTTGTGCACTGTGGTGACGCTGCTGCTGAGCCCAGCAACACCTCTGCTGTCAGTTCTTCTCAGAACTACAACGACGTCACAGAAACGACATCTTTCAGCTCTTCTGGTGGCATCCCGAGTAATGCTGAGACTCAAACCCCTGCCAGCACTCAAGCTACGATTGACACACTTCCTGACAGCACCGAGAATCCCACCAACACTCATGCCAGCACCCTCACTGTGATTGACACACTTCCTGACAGCACCGAGAATCCCACTAACACTCATGCCAGCACCCTCACTGTGGTTGATACACTTCCTGACAGCACCGAGAATCCCACCAACATTCATGCCAGCACCCTCACTGTGGTTGACGCACTTCCTGGCAGCACCGAGAATCCCTCCAACACTCATGCCAGCACCCTCACTGTGGTTGACACACTTCCTGACAGCACCGAGAATCCCACCAACACTCATGCCAGCACCCCTACCAGCACCCCCACTGTGGTTGACACACTTCCTAACAACACTGAGAATCCCAACAACGCTCATACCAGCATTCCTACCAGCACTGTGGTTGACTTACTCCCTGACAGCATTCAGACTCTTACAAACAGTCAGTGCATTGACACTCACATTTCTCCTGATGTTCCGAGCCTTGACAACTTCCTGGCTCCTGATATCAACCAGAATCCTGACGTTACTCAAAGTTCTGATGTTATCGAAAGTTCTGACGTCAACCCAAGTTCCGATATCACTGAAAGTCCCGACATCAACCAAAGTTCCGACATCACCGAAAGTCCCGGCATCAACCAAAGTTCCAACATCACCGAAAGTCCTGACATCAACCAAAGTTCTGACATAAACCAAAGTTCTGACGTCAACCAATATTCTAACGTCAGCAGTTCTGACGTCGTCAACCAAAGTTCTGACATCAGCAGTTTTGACGTCAACCAAAGTTCTGACATTAGCCAAAGTGCTGACATCACCCAAAGTTCTGCCATAAACCAAAGTTCTGACGTCAACCAAAGTTCTGACATCAGCAGTTCTGAAAACAACCAAAGTTCTGACGTCAATCAAAGTTCTGGTATCAGTCAAAGTTCTGACATCAACCAAAGTTTTGATATCAACGAAAACCCTGACATCAGCCAGAGTTCTGATGTTAAACAAAGTTCTGACATCAACCAAAGCCGTGACATCACCCAAAATTCTGACGTCAACCAAAATCCTGACGTCAACCAAAGTTCCGACATCATTGTAAGTTCGGACATAAACAGTGCCCAGAGTCTTCCCGAGGGCGTCCCAGACAGCCCCGAGGGAGGCACCAAGTCTGACAGGGTACCACCTGGCCAACAACCCCGAGGGGGGAACAAGGGCAGGAGGTACCCGAGGGGGCGAAGGGGATACCCCCCAACACCTCCCTCCAGAGGTCAGCGAACCAGCAGCTACAGTGAGGAAACTAAGAGCTTAAACCGGAGGCCTCCGACACACGGTGCCGGTGAAGACCGCACTCACAGGAGAGAGAGAACAATAAGCGCTGGAGAAGAACAGTCGAACTGGAGAACAAGAACAGGTGATGAAATGAACGGGAGAAAGAGAACGACAAGCGCTGGAGAACAACAGTCAAACTGGAGAACAAGACCAAAAGATAGGGAAGAACAAGCGAACGCCAAGGAAAGAACTCCAAGCAGTGGTGAAGAACATCAGAATAAGAGGAAGAACAGACGTAAGAGTACAGCGAACGACGGTGAAGAACTCTCAGACAGAAAGGAGAGGATCCCAAGCACTGGTGAAGAACAGGCCGGCTCCGGCACGCGCCGTCGTACAGTTAGTGTTCAAGAAAAACACTTTAACACCACGAAACAACGCACAGACAGTTCTAGCAGTGAACAAGGTAAGCAGAACAGGAAGTACCGGACGAGTGTTGGTGAAGAACATGAGAAGTCGGAGAACAAGGGCGAAATGGTTAATACGCAGAGCATCGATAAACGAAGTTCTACAAAGGGCAGTGAACGCATGAAGAACCAGGGCAGGAAGAACAAGGGACAGGTCAAAGAAGAACACACAATATCAGAGAAGAACCAGGGAAAGGAAGAGGCGATATCTTCTAGCGCTAAGGAACGACCAGCCTCTGAAGAGAACGCTGAAGAACAGACGTGTTATATTAGCAGTAAAGAACAAATTTTCTCACCGGATAGTGAACAAAATCTAAAGAGTATTAGTGATGAACAGATTCCTCCCTTTGATGCCAAAGCAGAATACGTAATATTTCACACAAGTGAACAACCAGTGGCATCCGTGAACAAGGAAGAACAACTAACATCCACGAGCAACGAAGCACAAATATCATACCATTGCAGTGGAGAACAAACGTATGAAACAATAGAAAAGCAAACGAAGTCGCAAAAGAACGAAGAACAGGTCGACCCAGTCGTCAGCACAGAACACACCAGAGGAAAGCAAAGTGAAGAACAAACAAAAGTGAAGCAGACTAAGGAACAAACAAAACACGATCAAGCAGAACAAACAAGACTCGGTGAAGGAAGAGAGAAACTCGCAAACAACGAAAAACAAAAACAGTACAAGAAAAGCAAACAATTCAGACACAAGAACACGGAACAAACGAAAGCAAAAAGCTCAGAACAATCAACGTCCGACCACACATGGAGAACAAAACTCAGCGATAGCGAAGGACAGACAGAACACGCGAAACCCGATAACAGTGAAGAACAAACAGAACACGAGCCTGAAAAAGAAGTTAAAACCATGAACACAGAAGAACAGGCGAAACTCGAGGAAAAGCAGTGGCTCAAGAACAAAGAAGAACAGGCAGAACCTGAGACTATAGAACCAAAATCTGCCAACACTGGAGACGAAAGAAAGACAAAGACCGAAGAACAAGTGGAACTTGAGAATGTTGAAGAACAAACAGAATTCAAGAATGCTGAGCAAGTGGAAGTTACGAAGGATGAAGAACAAACGGAATGCAAGAATACTGAACACACAGAACTCAAGAATTCTGAGGAACAAATGGAACTAAAAGATGAACAAGCGAAACCGAAGAATGATAAAGAACAAAGGAAACTGAAGAATGAACAACAAAGGGAACTCAAAAATGCTGAAGAGCAAGCGGAATTTGAGAATGCTGAAGCTCAAACGGAACTCAAGAACAGTGAAGACCAAACAGAACTCGAGACAGAAGACAGAACAAAAGCAATAACCATCGAAGAACAAATTAAACTTGAGAACTTAGGAGAGCAAGCAGTTCAGCAGGTATATGTGGAACCAATAACCTCTCAGAACACAGAAGAACAAATGTTGAATCATAATGATGGACAGCACCTACGTTCTGAGGGTGCTGAAGAACCAGTCGAGCCTAAGAACAAAGAGGAACAGGATCCTCAACGGTCAGTCAGAACGCGGGAGCGACGGGTAACCTTTAGCCAATCAGAGAGCGCACCTCGGGTAGCGTTGAGCCAATCAGAGAGCACACCTCGGGTAGCGTTGAACCAATCAGAGAGCGCACCTCGGGTAGCGTTGAGCCAGTCAGAGAGCGCACCTCGGGTAGCGTTGAGCCAATCAGAGATGACACCTCAGGATGTCAACAAAAGTGGTGGTAGCTCGGGAAGTCCTGACCAAGAGGCTACAAGCGCCTCCCAGGAGAGTCACGATGTAGGCTCAGGAATAGTAGCGGCAGCAGCAACAGCGGCGGCACCAGTAGAAGCAGCAGTAGCAGTAGAAGCTGCAGCAAAAGTAGAAGCAGCATCAGCCGTAGGAGCAGAAGCAGCAGTAGCGGCCGTAGAACCAACAGGCGAAACAAAGTCTGTCATGACGAAGCAGAGGAAGGCCCAAGAGCTGCAGAGGCAAAGCAAAAAGGAAGGCTACGAGGGGGAATATATCCATCACAGACGGCTTCCCGCTAAGGAAGAGCCAGAAACAGCTCTTCCCGCTCTCCAACGTCGAAGCTTCAGGTCTGCATTAAGTACTTGTGAAGCACTTAAGCGATCTTTATTTTCAGCCCTTCTAAAACGGGAAAATATTTTGAAATACCAAAGTTTCCCGTTTCAAATATAACATTAAGACTTTGCTGAGTTTTCCCGTTGAAATGCAATCTAGAGTGTAATTCTGAGTTTAAATTATGACAATTTATGTAAATCATCATAGGTACAACTAAAGTAGAAAATGCGAGCACTTACTTTTTTCAGGTTTCAGGATTTGATTTTTTTATATTAACTTATTTATAATACATTATTATTATTATTATTATTATTATTATTATTATTATTATTATTATTATTATTATTATTATTACCTGGAGTCTACCTGGAGACTGTTCCGGGGGTCAACGCCCCCATATGTACTTTAATTTTGTGACCAGAGTCTAAATCAGTGTCCACCCTCCGTGTGATGTCAGTTTCTTAATAACTTTTCGATTTACAGAAACTCTATGACCCCTGAATAAAATATGAAGAACGGTTCCTGCTATAATGCCGTTGATCCTGTTATTATTATCTCGACAATTTCCACATAAGTTCACATTTTCTCATTACAAAAGGCTATGCCATAACATTAGAAAACACATCTCAGTGGTAGAATCTGCGATCCCTTGAGTGAAACTGACTTATCAGGTCACCTTTAAGCTTTCTCTTATATGGATCATTGAGTACCTAACGGATGGAGGAGGTTAGTGTAGTTTAATATCTTCATTATGCACACCATACCCATCCTGTGGGTGGTAGTCAAAAGATTACAGAGGTACATAATGAGTCCTGGGACTGTGCCCCAAAGTTTTGATAGCTGAACAGGTTACAAAGGTGATGAACCATTCACACGTCTATACCTGATCACAATTGTAATGAGCTATTAATGCAAGTATTGGCTTTATTTACAGTAAGCAAAGTCAGGGTATTTTTCCAAAATTGTTTGTAATGGAGGACTATGGTACCAAATACACGATAGAATAAGAGACACGAGTGCAGTATAAAGCGAGCCTTTAATCGACAAAGTTTCGGCCACACAGTGGACTTTAAGTCACAAACAGATCTACCTGAGCAGAGAGTACATGAGTATATATAAGGAACTTAGTGACTTGCAGGCTCAGGTGAGGAACGTTGAAGTTGACTGCTGAGGAGAGATTAGATCTGAGAAAGATCTGCCCGGAATGGGAAGGTCTTCTCAACCAACTTATTATTCCCCACCTTGTCTCTCATGTCACTATGTTCCTGATATATATATATATATATATATATATATATATATATATATATATATATATATATATATATATATATATATATATTATATATATATATATATATATATATATATATATATGATATATATATATATATATATATATATATATTATATATATATATATATATATATATATATATATATATATATATATATATATTAATTTATTTATTAACACACTGGCCGATTCCCACCAAGGCAGGGTGGCCCGAAAAAGAAAAACGTTCACCATCATTCACTCCATCACTGTCTTGCCAGAAGGGTGCTTTACACTACAGTTTTTAAACTGCAACATTAACACCCCTCCTTCAGAGTGCAGGCACTGTACTTCCCATCTCCAGGACTCAAGTCCGGCCTGCCGGGTTCCCTGAATCCCTTCATAAATGTTACTTTGCTCACACTCCAACAGCACATCAAGTATTAAAAACCATTTGTCTCCATTCATTCCTATCAAACACGCTCACGCATGCCCGCTGGAAGTCCAAGCCCCTCGCACACAAAACCTCCTTTACCCCCTCCCACCAACCTTTCCTAGGCCGACCCCCTACCCCGCCTTCCTTCCACTACAGACTGATACACTCTTGAAGTCATTCTGTTTCGCTCCATTCTCTCTACATGTCCGAACCACCTCAACAACCCTTCCTCAGCCCTCTGGACAACAGTTTTGGTAATCCCGCACCTCCTCCTAACTTCCAAACTACGAATTCTCTGCATTATATTCACACCACACATTGCTCTCAGACATGACATCTCCACTGCCTCCAGCCTTCTCGCTGCAACATTCATCACCCATGCTTCACACCCATATAAGAGCGTTGGTAAAACTATACTCTCATACATTCCCCTCTGCCTCCCAAGGACAAAGTTCTTTGTCTCCACAGACTCCTAAGTGCACCGCTCACCCTTTTCCCCTCATCAATTCTATGATTCACCTCATCTTTCATAGACCCATCCGCTGACGCGTCCACTCCCAAATATCTGAATACATTCACCTCCTCCATACTCTCTCCCTCCAATCTGATATCCAATCTTTCATCACCTAATCTTTTTGTTATCCTCATGACCTTACTCTTTCCTGTATTCACTTTTAATTTTCTTCTTTTGCATACCCTACCAAATTCATCCACCAACCTCTGCAACTTCTCTTCAGAATCTCCCAAGAGCACAGTGTCATCAGCAAAGAGCAACTGTGACAACTCCCACTTTATGTGTGATTCTTTATCCTTTAACTCCACGCCTCTTGCCAAGACCCTCGCATTTACTTCTCTTACAACCCCATCTATAAATATATTAAACAACCACGGTGACATCACACATCCTTGTCTAAGGCCTACTTTTACTGGGAAATAATCTCCCTCTTTCCTACATACTCTAACTTGTAGAGGTCTGAACTATGCTCAGACCTCTACAACAATTGTTAAGTTATACCATGACTTAAGTAAAGATCCTGGACTTCACCTTAAGAAACAGACAAAGCAAATGTGATAGTAATTATAGACAAGGTAGATTATAGTGGAAAAATGAACATATAATTATAAGACGGGGGAAGTTACGTGCCTCTTAAGGTGACGATTAATCATGAGTCCATACCAGTTAGGTTCATCTTTTTGAAACACTTGTATACTGAGAACTCCTATTTTAAGAATTAATAACCATGGTAGAGTTGATAAGCTTCAAACGTTAACTAATTTCATAAACATTTGTTCTACTGTAGAAAGCGTATGTATAATAACTGCGAAACACACACACGTATCACCTAAACTTAGTGTTAACTAATATGTCTGTGTGTGTATATATGTGTACAGGATGGAGGGGACAGATGACAGCCAGGAACCAGAGGTGGGCATGTGCGCTAACTGCGGCTTCATCGCCAAACTGCGCTGCGCAAACTGCCGTCAAGCCTTCTACTGTAAGCGGGAGTGCCAGAGGGACCACTGGAAGAATGGACATAAGGACCAGTGCCAGCCTTTCCAGGTAAGTAATACCTATCATCTTCCTGGTCATCATGATGTTAAATGGTGACTGCCAGCAGTGTTATAATTATTATTATTGTTATTGTTATTATTATTATTATTATTATTATTATTATTATTATTATTATTATTATTATTATTATTATTATTATTATTATCACCGGGGAACGGTAAATCCATAGGAGTGATCCTGCAAAATTTAGAGAAACACCGTACTATAATAAATATTATAGAAGCGGTAAAAGTCACTTATTTAATGGGTGACAGGAACAACATATAATAATTCTGGGATGTTGATGGAGGAAGTAAAGAATAGGTATAGAAAGTAGCATCACGGTCCTCCAGAAGACCATCTTCACGTGAAGAAGGAAAGGAACCCTCACTAGAGAAAGAAGATATCTGGAGAAGACCATTTGTAAGAGCTTCCTGCCTGGCTCTGTACTGAAGGTTGCTTTCTCACAGGTTATGGATGATTATTATTATAACCTAAACTAAGTGCTAAACCCATAAGGGTTTAGCGCTGCTCCCACATTCCAGAAAAATAGGGATTGTGCCGTCAGTATACACGCTGATAGATGTACCCTTCTGGGTCTGTGTACGGGGTTTGAACCCTATTTACCACATTTGGGGAATGATAGGCTGGGTTAAGTTTGTCAGGAAACAGGACAAGTGTTTCCTGACGCAGGTCTTAGTCATACGATGATCCACAGCTGGAGCTTTTGGTCATCTGACCGAGGCCTTCCGCTGGCTTACCGGTCCACCCCTTTTTAAAATTGTGGTTATATTTATAGCCATTTCTAGATCTTTTAAATCATTAGGAATCCTAGTAAAAAATACATCCCCGTTTTCTTTAAGAGGTCAGATGTTACACAATTCTGTGCCAATATATTTTAATCTTTACTCCAAATACATAATTACAGAAGTCATATTTAACGGTATATTCTATTATATTTTCTGACCATACTAGAAATTTAATTTTTTTCAGGTTAAAAAAGTTGTTACATTGAAACAATTCCCGTTTTGTTGTGTCCCAGGTGATGACGTCAGCAGAACTGGGTCGGTACATGGTAGCGTCACGTGACCTCAAGGCTGGTGATGTCATACTGAAGGAAGATCCCATAGTGGTGGGACCTAAACAGATCACTGAACCTCTCTGTCTAGGATGTTATAAGAGAGTTGACGGATCCTACAGGTGAGAGACAGACACACAAATGGAAAGAGACACGCAGACACCAGAAAGAGACAGGGAGAGAAAGAATTACTTGACTTGGAACAATAGCCTGATATAATTCACTGAGATTGATTGACATCAGTTAAACGAACGAGATTACTCAACTGAGCTTTGACTGATTACTTAATATAACAAAGTAAGACCCATAGTCTTGTCTTAAAGACTTTCCTGAAATATTCACCAAAACATCGTCCCTCTGACACAAACACTGACAACACAGGAGAGTCAACACTGACAACACAGGAGAGTCAACACTGACAACACAGGAGAGTCAACACTGACAACACAGGAGAGTCAACACTGACAACACAGGAGAGTCAACACTGACAACACAGGAGAGTCAACACTGACAACACAGGAGAGTCAACACTGACAACACAGGAGTCAACACTGACAAAACAGGAGTCAACACTGACAACACAGGGGAGTCAACACTAACAACACAGGAGTCAACACTGACAACACAGAAGTCAACACTAACAACACAGGAGTCAACACTGACAACACAGGAGTCAACACTAACAATACAGGAGTCAACACTGACAACACAGGAGTCAACACTAACAACACAGGAGTCAACACTGACAACACAGGAGTCAACACTGACAACACAGGAGTCAACACTAACAACACAGGAGTCAACACTAACAACACAGGAGTCAACACTGACAACACAGGAGTCAACACTGACAACACAGGAGTCAACACTAACAACACAGGAGTCAACACTGACAACACAGGAGTCAACACTGACAACACAGGAGTCAACACTAACAACACATGAGTCAACACTAACAACACAGGAGTCAACACTAACAACACAGGAGTCAACACTGACAACACAGGAGTCAACACTGACAACACAGGAGTCAACACTAACAACACATGAGTCAACACTAACAACACAGGAGTCAACACTGACAACACAGGAGTCAACACTAACAATACAGGAGTCAACACTAATAACACAGGAGTCAACACTAACAGCACATGAGTCAACACTAACAACACAGGAGTCAACACTAATAACACAGGAGTCAACACTAACAACACATGAGTCAACACTAACAACACAGGAGTCAACACTAACAACACAGGAGTCAACACTGACAACACAGGAGTCAACACTAACAACACAGGAGTCAACACTGACAACACAGGAGTCAACACTAACAACACAGGAGTCAACACTAACAACACAGGAGTCAACACTGACAACACAGGAGAGTCAGCACTGACAACACAGGTGAGTCAACACTGACAACACAGGAGAGTCAACACTGACAATACAGGGGAGTCAACACTAACAACACAGGAGTCAACACTGACAACACAGAAGTCAACACTGACAACACAGGTGAGTCAACACTGACAACACAGGTGAGTCAACACTGACAACACAGGAGAGTCAACACTGACAACACAGGTGAGTCAACACTGACAACACAGGAATCAACACTGACAACACAGGGGAGTCAACGCTGACAACACAGAAGTCAACACTGACAACACAGGAGTGAACACTGACAACACAGGAGTCAACACTGACAACACAGAAGTCAACACTGACAACACAGAAGTCAACACTGACAACACAGAAGTCAACGCTGACAACACAGGTGAGTCAACACTGACAACACAGGTGAGTCAACACTGACAACACAGGAGAGTCAACACTGACAACACAGGTGAGTCAACACTGACAACACAGGAGTCAACACTGACAACACAGGAGAGTCAACACTGACAACACAGAAGTCAACACTGACAACACAGGAGTGAACACTGACAACACAGGAGTCAACACTGACAACACAGGAGAGCAAACACTGACAACACAGGAGAGTAAACACTGACAAGACAGGAGTCAACACTGACAACACAGGAGTCAACACTAACAACACAGGAGTCAACACTGACAACACAGGAGTCAACACTAACAACACAGAAGTCAACATTGACAACACAGGAGTCAACAATAACAACACAGAAGTCAACACTAACAACACAGAAGTCAACACTAACAACACAGAAGTCAACACTAACAACACAGAAGTAAACACTGACAAGACAGGAGTCAACACTGACAACACAGAAGTCAACACTAACAACACAGGAGTCAACACTGACAACACAGGAGTCAACACTAACAACACAGAAGTCAACACTAACAACACAGGAGTCAACACTAACAACACAGAAGTCAACACTGACAACACAGGAGTCAACACTAACAACACAGAAGTCAACACTAACAACACAGGAGTCAACACTAACAACACAGAAGTCAACACTGACAACACAGGAGTCAACACTAACAACATAGAAGTCAACACTGACAACACAGGAGTCAACACTAACAACACAGAAGTCAACACTAACAACACAGAAGTCAACACTGACAACACAGGAGTCAACACTAACAACACAGGAGTCAACACTGACAACACAGGAGTCAACACTAACAACACAGGAGTCAACACTAACAACACAGGAGTCAACACTAACAACACAGAAGTCAACACTGACAACACAGGAGTCAACACTGACAACACAGGAGTCAACACTAACAACACAGGAGTCAACACTAACAACACAGGAGTCAACACTGACAACACAGGTGAGTCAACACTGACAACACAGGAGTCAACACTAACAACACAGGAGTCAACACTGACAACACAGGTGAGTCAACACTGACAACACAGGAGTCAACACTAACAACACAGGAGTCAACACTGACAACACAGGTGAGTCAACACTGACAACACAGGAGAGTCAACACTGACAACACAGGAGAGTCAACACTGACAACACAGAAGTCAACACTGACAACACAGAAGTCAACACTGACAACACAGGTGAGTCAACACTGACAACACAGGAGAGTCAACACTGACAACACAGGAGTCAACACTAACAACACAGGAGAATCAACACTGACAACACAGGAGTCAACACTAACAACACAGGTGAGTCAACACTAACAACACAGGAGAGCCAACACTAACAACACAGGAGAGTCAACACTAACAACACAGGAGAGTCAACACTGACAACACAGGAGAGTCAACACTAACAACACAGGAGAGTCAACACTATCAACACAGGAGAGTCAACACTGACAACACAGGAGAGTCAACACTAACAACACAGGAGAGCCAACACTAACAACACAGGAGAGTCAACACTAACAAGACAGGAGAGTCAACACTAACAACACAGGAGAGTCAACACTAACAAGACAGGAGAGTCAACACTGACAACACAGGAGAGTCAACACTATCAACACAGGAGAGTCAACACTGACAACACAGGAGAGTCAACACTAACAACACAGGAGAGCCAACACTAACAACACAGGAGAGTCAAACCACTAACAAGACAGGAGAGTCAACACTAACAACACAGGAGAGTCAACACTAACAACACAGGAGAGTCAACAATAACAACACAGGAGAGTCAACACTAACAACACAGGAGAGTCAACACTAACAACACAGGAGAGTCAACACTAACAACACAGGAGAGTCAACACTAACAACACAGGAGAGTCAACACTAACAACACAGGAGAGTCAACACTAACAACACAGGAGAGTCAACACTAACAACACAGGAGAGTCAACACTAACAACACAGGAGAGTCAACACTAACAACACAGGAGAGTCAACACTAACACACAGGAGAGTCAACACTAACAACACAGGAGAGTCAACACTAACAACACAGGAGAGTCAACACTAACAACACAGGAGAGTCAACACTAACAACACAGGAGAGTCAACAATAACAACACAGGAGAGTCAACAATAACAACACAGGAGAGTCAACACTAACAACACAGGAGAGTCAACACTAACAACACAGGAGAGTCAACACTAACAACACAGGAGAGTCAACACTAACAACACAGGAGAGTCAACACTAACAACACAGGAGAGTCAACACTAACAACACAGGAGATCAACACTAACAACACAGGAGAGTCAACACTAACAACACAGGAGAGTCAACAATAACAACACAGGAGAGTCAACACTAACAACACAGGCGAGTCAACACTAACAACACAGGAGAGTCAACAATAACAACACAGGAGAGTCAACATTGACTAAGTGGAGAGTCAGAGGGAGTCAATTCTTGCCAGACTCGGAATTATTGCTGACTTATAAAGTAAGGTACACCTAACCAGGTGACAGACCTGCCAACCTCTTCACTCTAACACAACCTTCAGCTTATTAACCTAGCAGAAAACAATTAACCCAGGGTAAGATTGTTAACCCAGGGTAAGATTGTTAACCCAGGGTAAGATTGTTAACCCAGGGTAAGATTGTTAACCCAGGGTAAGATTGTTAACCCAGGGTAACCCAAGAAAGTACCAGGTTTTACTTTCTTATCCTGGGTTAATATCCCAGGATAAGAGGTTTGGTAACTGTGTTGAGCTGTGAGGGAACACTGGGCTGGTAGCAGAGAACACTGGGCTGGTAGCAGAGAACACTGGGCTGGTAGCAGAGAACACTGGGCTGGTAGCAGAGAACACTGGGCTGGTAGCAGAGAACACCGGGCTGGTGGCAGAGAACACTGGGCTGGTAGCAGAGAACACTGGGCTGGTAGCAGAGAACACTGGGCTGGTACAGAGAACACTGGCTGGTAGCAAAAGAACACTGGGCTGGTAGCAGAGAAACACTGGGTGGTAGCAGAGAAACACGGGCTGGTGCAGAGAACACTGGGCTGGTAGCAGAGAACATGGCTGGTAGCAGAGAACACTGGCTGTAGCTAGAGATACACTGGGCTGGTAGCAGAGAACACTGGCTGGTAGCAGAGACACTGGGCTGGTGGCAGAGAACACTGGGCTGGTAGCAGAGAACACTGGGCTGGTAGCAGAGAACACCGGGCTGGTAGCAGAGAACACTGGGCTGGTAGCAGAGAACACTGGGCTGGTAGCAGAGAACACCGGC